TGGAGTCAATGCATATGGAAGGTGTTCAGCTTCCTCTCCTGCTGTGCACAAAGGGTCCAGGACTCACTGCAGTACAGGAGTGTATTCAGGACACAGACTCTATAGACCTGGATCTTGGTATATGCTGTCAGCTTCTTATTAAGCTCTTATTCTCTTTGTGAGTCTAGAGAACATGGTAGCTGCTTTGTCAATGTGTTTATCCAGCTCAACATCTAGGGAGAGAGTGTCAGAGATCGTTGAGCCAAGGTACAAAAAGTCATGAACAACCTCCAATTCTTACATGGAGATGGTAATAGAGGGAGGTGAGTCCACGCCCTGGCCCATGATTTGTGTTTTCTTCAGGCTGATTATTAATCCAAAGCCTTGGCAGGCCTTACTAAAACCTTGGCAGGCCTTACTAAAACGATTCACGTGTTGTTGGAGGTCTTCAGCAGAGTGGGCAACAACAGCTGCATCATCGGCGAAGAGGAAGTCCTGCATGCATTTCAGCTGGACTTTGGTCTTTGCTCTCAATTTAGAGAGATTAAAGAGCTTTCCATCTGACCTAGTCCGGATGGTGGTTTACAACAAATAACAAAAAGCAATAGAGTAACAAAAAAGCAAACAGCAACATTAATACAGAAGTGTGAAAACTTACCTTCACTTTATGATTATAGGTCAGTTCCAATTTGACAGCATATAACAACAAAGTTTTGTGTGCCTTATGTCCTGCCAAGTCACTTCTAATTTATGGTGACCCTAATAGGCTTTTCAGGGTACATAGGATATGTAAGAAGCAGTTTTACTGTTGCCTCTTATGTGTGAGTTTTCATGGCCAAGTGGGGATATGAACCCAGGTCTCTTGGATCCTGGCCTGACACACCTGTAACCCCTTCTTCTGCCCTTTCGCTTAGAGGTAGAGCATAAGATCAAAGGGTTATTTCAGCCAATCCTAGTTACGATTAGGTAACTAGTATCCTATCTGTTTCTCTTATAACATACTATGTAATCATGCCAAGTAAATGAAAGAGCTCTCAGGTCGTTGCCTGTAGGCTCCGCTGGCTTGGACATCCACTGTCTACGCCTTTCTTCTCTCTCTAAGGCAATTAGCTTTGTTTCGTGATCAACCACAATTTTGTACTAACTTGGCTTACTTACTTGGTCTCTGTTTATGCTATATTTATTGAATTTAGAAAGTTTAAATGGTTTGAAAAATTATTTTGTAGTTTTAATATTGATACATGTTTAATTGTTTTTAATATAATTTTGTATGGTGTCACAGAACCCTCTTGCCAGACTCCTCATTATAACCAATCTGCCAGACTGCCTGCCACTTTTTTTTTTTTGAGTGGGAGTCCCCAGAAAGAGCAGGCATAGGGAAAACTATGAGTAATGTCTGGGATCCTTTCATCTCCCCAACACGCCTACAATCTGCAAGGCATTGTATATTCCAAGCGCTCAATACACAAAATTACAATAGGCTCACATAAAAATCAATATTAGCAATTTCAGTAGCTTGACTGAAGTGAAGGTCTAGAAAGTTAATACCACTCCTCCCTTCTCAGTCACCTTTCAGACACTGGCTTGAAAGGATTTGTATATTATTTTAAAAAGGGAAAGTGGGGAGGGTGAGAAAGGTCAATTTTTAAAAAGGGGAATTACTGTATTTTTCCGTGTATATGATGACCCCTACTTTTCCAACCCCAAATAAGAAAATTTGATTGCTGCTTTCCCCGTCCACTTCCTAAGT